TATGTTTTTTCCTCTTGTGCTCCCGCGACCTTAAATGTCTGCACAGGCCTGAATATTGAAGATTAGGCCTTTTGGAGGTAAGGAGAGCAGTGCAATATTCTTAACTACTGTGTGCTATTATATTGTGAATAAGGTCATGTTTGTTTAATGTGAATTTGATATTGTATTTGAATGTGAAACAAATAGTTATACTTTATTATACTGTTGCGTTCTGGAGCGTATTTAAAATCAGACAATAAATTAGTATCACATTGTAACATATTTTTGACTTGCATGCAAGGAACAAAAGCAGAATGCTGTTAGTCTACAACCAGGCCAGTTTCTATCAGTAATTAATGTTGATCAAAGCTTTGATTAAAGGTTTGTTCTTGTGTCTTCATTTTTGTTTCAAAAGTAGCAGTTATTATATGAATGCATTCTGTTATGTCTACATAAGTTATGTTCTCTTCTACACTAAAAAATTGAAGTTATATAATGTAAAAATATGTTTAATGGTGTAGTGCGGGCCTCCATTTGGCTGGTGGGCTACATTTTGCGCAGCCTTGGTGTACATCATTTCCACATGATTGAAACATATTACATCAACACAGAGTTGTTTTTTCAGTTTACTCACCTTGTGGCAATAATTGCGTTTATGCAAAATACTGTATTCATGCAGTACACATCTTAAATAGAGTAAATTCAATGTATCACTTTCTTCAATGTAATGTCATTGTTAAAACATCTCTCAGTGACAAGTTGAAAGAGATAGAATCCCCCACACCTCTTTCCCAACAACACACCACACAAAGGAGAGGTGAGTGAGGTTACCCGTGTAAACATTTTACTGCAGCCTTCAGGGGCCCAGTTCCCAGGCCTGGCCTTTCAGCATGAAACAAGCCCAGAGAAAAACAGCTACTGTTAGACAGACTGCAGGAGTTCATTCATACACCAACACCACTGCAGAGAGACCTTTTCCTTTCAACAAAATAGACTGACTAAGAGGGACAGAAAATAGGTCACATTGAAAAAGACCAGCAAAAAACATCAGAAATATCTGTGATGTTCCTGTTAGTAGCGTCAGTGCTGCACATATCCAATAATGAGCTTTTCAATTAAATCAGGTAGAACACCTAATTGTGATTGCTGTCTCTGCTGCACCATCATTGGTATAATGAGGAAATTAGTCTTACTTTTCACAGGTACCAGTGTCCACATTTTCTTTCTACGTGTCCATTAAATCAAATAAAGGCTGCCTGATACACTATATGTCCAAATGACTGTAGACACCTGCTTATTTGTGTCTTCTTAATTAAAGCTATCATTAGGGAGTTTGTCCCTCCTTTGCAGCAGTAACGACCTCTACTCCTCTAGGAAGGACTAGATTTTGGAACACTGCTGTGGGGATTTGATTGCATTCAGCCACATGAGCATTAGTGAGATCAGGTATTGATATGGGATGGTTGGTTCTAGATCACAAATGCCACTTCAACTCATCCCAAAGGTACTAGACAGGGCTCCATCACTTCAGAGAATGCAGTTCCACCATTTCACAGCCCAGTGCTGGGGGATTTATAGCCCTCCAGCTGACGCTTGGCATTGGGCATGGTAAGCTTTGGCTCATGTGCGGCTGCTCCAGAGCATCCCATTCTGTAGGTAATGCTTTTCTGTGAAGAACATACAAGCTGTGTGTGCTCAGTACAATCTGTGTTAGCAACAGGTGTACCATAAAGTAGCTACATTCACTGATTAGAAGGGCTGTCTGCATACAGTCTGAGGGGAAACCCTCAGAGCCTTCTAGGACTTCAGCCTCATGATTTCTGGGAACCTAAAAATACATGTCTATAATTTTATATATATTATATATATATTTTTTTATTCAATATTTAAACACAAGATGTATTACAGCACTACTCTTGTTTCAAAAGGGTTAAGATCTTGAAAAGTCCAAGAGAGGTCTTCTAGAATTCCTAGGTATATCACTGACTGGCTTATTAGAAATGGAAAACAGCAGGGCAGCTCTATACCAGCGCTCTCTACAGAAAGAGTCACTGTAAAACTGATACAGGGTAAAAAATATGCTACAGTGTCTGTCATAAGCTTCAAGTAAAGCATGGAACATCTTTTAGAAGTTTTAGATGTCTGTGTTGCCAAATAATGTTCATTTGCCATTGGCTCAGCACTAACAAGCTACTAGAGTCCCATAGGGATGCTAGCAGAAGTTAGCATTATCGTAAAGGTGGGTTTTTGACCCATGTTTTGACATTTGTGGCCCAAATTAAAGGCCTAGCTCTAAGAGTCACAGTTAGTAACTGGTAATGTGCCATAAAAATGATGAAAGGATACAGAAATATCAACACTTTCAATTCTGCCATTTTCTTTTAAGAATCCTTTCATTAGAAAGTTTAATACCGATTGGTTTCTTTATGCAGTAATTGTTAACATTTAAATTGAGCATTTGATGTTCAATAAAATGAAAATGAAATTGCAGCTAATAAAGGTGCAGAACTACTTTTCATTCCACCCTCTTCACCCTCTCCTCCTTTCCACATAGACAGTAACAGAACTAACATATTTAATCAAGTAGCATCTATTTCTTGATGAAAGTGATAGGCACAAACACTGGACAGTTCAGTCAATAGTAATGCAAAGACTATATTTTCTATAATATATATTTGAAAATATAAAATCAGTGGCATCACCCATCCTGCCTGTAGCTCTACAACTTTCAATTACTTACAACTTCCACAGGCTGAATTACAGAGCCAGTCAACTCTAATTTATGTTCATGTTAAATTAACATGTCAAGCTGTTCTTGTCAGCACTATTGTTGCCAGTTCCATACTGACTGACAGCGGCCACAAAGCAACAGTGCAAAGTTCACTAGATGCTCTTCAGTAAATTCACAGTGATCATTTGTCAGTAAAATACATCTAATTATTTTTCTTGGATATGATGAATTAACTTCTTATAATTCCGTCACTAAAGGAATAAGTCGGTAAATTATACAGTTTTCAGCCAAGACATGTTCGCGGCCCAATTTTTGCTTCTTTAGTTTAGAACTGGAGCTATGAGGCTAACACTGCTAACAAACAGTAGAACTCAATAGTTACCCAAATGTGTTCTGTAAATACATCACCAAAACTTCACACAAGCTGCTCAAACTGCTTCCAGTTCTTCATTAAGGTTGCACAGACTTGTCAGTGCAGTTTAGGACATAATATGACTTACTGTGAATTATTAAAATTTCCAGAATCTTGCTGTGTAGCTAAATGTTGCAACAGCCTTTTTAGACAACAGGGTCTGTGTTTACAAAACACATCAGGACTAGAAGTGCTGACCTACACTGAGCTTTCGAGACAATGACTGCCAAAATGTGCAGGAAAAAGGCCTTAATGAAAACCTGGATACTGTTTGAGCAGGTTGAGAGCAGGTTTGGTGGTGTATTCTTAGGAAATGATTTGGGCGACTATTAAGTACTATTGTTTTTTAGAAACGTTAGCCTCACAGCTGCATTTCTACACTAGTGAAGCAAAATTTCCAAACATGTCTTGGCTGATCAACTACATCAGTGATAAGTGAAAAACTGAGTAAATTAGATTTTTTTTTCCATCAAACTATTCCTTGAAACGTAAGACTTTCATGGATTTTTTGGTAACTATTATGGAACTAAAATGTACATATATTTGTGAGAGTGAGGAGCTGAAGTGGGCCGAGTTTCATACGTAAAGCAGCTATGAACCAAATCACCAAATTAGAACAATTTATTTGGGTTTTTAAGAGAACTCTTACAGTGAACATACTTTGTCTAAGACAGAGAAAAAATATTACAAAAATATGTATCTGTACCATAGTTGCAAGATTAATTCAGTACCTTTCAATACAATAATAAAACACATGAAGCAGGACAGTTGATGCAATGCAACTAGAACACCGTACAGGGGCAAGCAGCAGCAGACAAGGGTAAACAGGTAAGGCCAACTCGTTAGAATATTCTGTCTCAGAACTCAATATAAAGTTAGTAGTGATTTTCAGTGGCATCAAGTGAAATGATGAACGATGATGAGATGCCAGATTAAGTTGACTTTCCAATGCTACATGTGCAGGACTGTGCTGGTCTGTGTGTGTTCATACTACAGTGCAGTTACATCAATACTTTGCCCTGTGACGTGTGACCTCTCAAGGTTCTGTCTGGCATAAAGCTTTTTTAAACATGACAAGATGACACGTGAGCTTAATGCTTAATGTTCTTAACAGCACAAACACGAAGTGCCAAAGAGATTGCAAAATGTAATGGATGTGTAAGACATTGACCGTACAAATTCACATAAATAATAACCTAAAACACTGTTTCTACAAAATCCAAGTGGCTTGGTAAATAAGAGAGTCTTTTTCTGCATTTTATCACTGCGTACAAAAGTAAGGAAAACATAAATAAATCTACAAATGGCTACACAAATTACATGAAATATAATTTATGCTACGGATGAAAAAAACAGGAGAAAATGCTTACATTTATCTCACAGTGATGGACCCAATAAAAGTACTGCTTGTGTGAAGTGAAGAACTGAACCTTACTGCTGGGGTTCAGGGTCGAGTACCACCTAGGCCATGTGCCATCTGTGACACCTTAGCATGTGCTCTTTCTGGGAGAGATGAATAGTAGAACACTGACAGGCTCCTTCATATAAGGTTCTCTAGTCAGCTGGCCAACCGAGCTGAGCAGTTAGCATTCTCCTCCAAGCGTGTTGAGGCATATGATAATTCTGTGGTGTAGGGAGTTTGAAAAGATGCTGTAACAAGCTTCATTTACTTCATGTTTACCAGAGATGTTCACACGAGTCCAGGTCAGGTTTTGAGTCACTTTCATGATAAAATAACCCTTAGTCTGCAAGACAGAATGGCACTACAAGAAAAGACATAAAACAACATGAAATGGTTGGTTAGTCTGTAGTTTATGTAGCACATATGTGGCTAACTAATAGCTGAAGTTTTAGTAAGTTTTAAAGGAATGTGATCTGTAAGTTGTTAAAACTGTAGCTAGATGAGCTTGCTATCCATACTTCCAAACCACATGCTAGCATTTCAAGTTGTTTTCCTCTTTCTTTTAAACACCACATGTACTGTGTGTAGCACTTCATTCTGTCCTTCAGACTGAAGATTTTTCCATAATAAAAGGCTTTTTACTTAAAGCCGTGTCGAACCTGACGCCCAACAGTGAAGGCCTGTTATCCTTCTGTGGACTTGCCAGTGGAAGGATGAAGAACATGGTGTATTCTCATAGTAAGACAAAAATGCCAACCATAACACTAAACAAGTGCAAAAGCCTGCCACTGATCTGTGTGTGTGCGAGTGTGTGTGTGTTGTGAGAGGGCATTGGACATACGTGGCTGAAATGGACGGTTCAGTGAGAGGGGACCATGTTCTTAATGACAGGCTCTCTGTTGAGATAAGTGGCCCAGTAGACCAGGTTGAAGCTGCCAAAGAGCACAGGGAAGATGATGCGGGACATGCGGTCAATTTTGCTCACGCTATTGAAGGTCTTCTTGCTCTCTTTAGCTGCAGGCTGAGCTTTAGCAGGCTCTGCTGGTGCGCTCTTGGAGACGGTGGGAAGGGCTGAGTCTTTACCAATGTGGGGAGCGTAGTTAGCCACGGCAACTGCATAAGCGTTGTTCTTCTTCATAATGGAGCCCTCCTTTTTCTGTGAATGTGTCACTCAGTTAGTACAGAAATGCAAAATCACATTATATGTACTTTAGAGGCCATAAAATGAAAGGAAATACTACAAAGTCAGGTCCATAAACATTTAGATGTTGACAAAGCTTTTTTTAAACATTAAGTTTGGCCAAATTAACTACAGCGTACATTCTTACAAAGAAGGCACACTAGTGAGTGCAGAAACACAAAAAAAGCCAGGGAGAGCACAAATAAAAACTGTGGTGGATGACAGTTCACAATTCAGAATTCCTAACGTGGTGATCAAGAAGTGAACCATTGATAAGCCTCATAAACAGGAAGACCAAAAAGAGAGTTTGCCAAAAACATTTGCCAAAAGCCTGTACAGTTCTGGAATAACATCTTATGGACAGATGAGACAAAGATCAACTTATACCAGAATGATGAGAAGAGTATGGAGAATAGAAGAAACTGCTCATGATCCAAAGCACACCACCTCATCTGTCAAGCAAGGTGGAGGTAGTTTTATGGTGTGGGCATGTATAGCTGCCAAAGAAACTTGTTCCCTTGTATTTATTGAAGATGTGACTGCTGATAAAAGCAGCAAGATTAATTTTGAAGTGTATATGGCTATATGGTCTACTCAGATTTGGCCAAACCTCAATGCATAGTGCTGCATTGTGCAGAAGCACAATGACCCCATAGCACCCCAAGACATTTTAAAGCCAAAGAAGTGAAATGTTCTGCAATGGTGAAGTCAATCTCATCCAATCGAGCATGCATTCCACTTAACTGAAAACTGAAGGCGAAGCACCCCAAGAACAAGCAGGAACTGAAGATGTTTATGGGGTCTAGACTTCAGGCAGTCAATAACTGGATATGAAAATTCTAAATGACAATTTCATTAATGATTATTTTAGTTTATTCCTTAGTTTTTGAGCCCCTAAAATGGGAGGTCTATGTGTGAAAATGGCTGTAATTTCACCTTTCACCTAATTTGTCTCTAAATACCCTCAAATTAAAACTAAAATTTAAACTAAAATTCACAATTAATTCCAACTAAAATATGCTGTGGTAGACAGCTAATATAACAATAACTTTATATACGTCCAAATATTTATGGACCTGACTGTATAGTCGCTGTTATGAAAAAAAAAAACTTTTTTTGTTTTAGACCATTCAAAATTTTGCTTGCTAAATTTTGTGTACATTTCCTGAAAAAAAAAATTATATACGTATATATATATATATATATATATATATATATATATATATATATATATACCGTAGATGTTATATAGACGATAAGGACATTTTTTCTTTCCCATATGAAGTTACTGAGTGCATTTACATGTTTAAAATAAGGTGATGACTGTAGGAAAATCCTTTTTGGCAATTTTGGCAATTATTTATCCAACATATTTATTTGCACTTATTAATGGGAAAACTTGAGGTTTACTTGAGTCAGTCAAAAATCTGTTTTTTTTTATATATGACAAACTGAATAATCTGGTAATGATCATATTATTAGTGTGTATATAAAGGTACTCAAGATTTTTTTTTGTACGACAGCGACTATACTCAGTATTGCATCCACTGCAAAGACTATTCACATGAGCTCAGTAGTCCAGATATGAGCGCACTCAACAAATGAAACACAGCTTCTCAGCCTTCAGAATCACAGCTGCCAGATGTGTCTCCCTGCGTGAGTCTTCGTAGTCATGGTTACCTTGTCATTGACGACACTCTTGCCATCCCAGGCCCAGCCGCGTTTGGTGAAGTAGTTGACTGTTGCGAACTCGATGAGTGCGGAGAAGACGAAGGCGTAGCACACAGCGATGAACCAGTCCATAGCGGTAGCATAAGCCACTTTGGGCAGTGAATTACGGGCACTGATACTCAGAGTGGTCATAGTTAGCACTGTGGTCACACCTGGATAAAGAACAGGCCGTAAATACACTCATTCACTTCAAATGGGACAATAATGCTCTTTTAGCTGCTTCCGTTCACTTTTGCTGCTAAGGTCAGTTGCATTTTTCAGGATCTTATGTGCTTTTTCAACTTTTGCTGAAATCGTCTCTAGGAGTCTTATTTTCTGACAGTGTTGCTGCAAAATCAGCAAGTTAGCCAAGGCATCTGTTACAGCGGGTTTATGTTCTTTTTTTTTCCTCAAAGCGCTTTCAGTGGAGGACGTATTCAGCTCTAAAGTGGACATGGCGCCAGAGGCCAACAACAAAATAAGGACACCTCAGCATCCGCTGACTTGCATGTTCAAATGGCTGAAAGGAGCCAGATTTTTTCGCCTGAAGACACGCGTCTGTCATCAAGAAGTGCCAACCTCCATGTGACTTCTAGCCTCTAAGTCAGAGAACATTAGTCATAAATCATTTTCCCTTGTTTGTAAAAGCACATTTCTGAGACAGTGTGCTTAGTTAATGTGTTTTTCACAAGTGGATCAAGTCTAATGCTCTGCAGAAAAGGAGATTTAGTACCTCAGAAATCCAAATGTTGTCAATTATTTTTCCTATTAAATTTAGCAGCAGTATACAAGGTTTGATATGATCATAATCATTTTGAAACAACCATATTTGGTCATCTGTGGGCTGGTTTTTGGTCCTCTTAGATGTTTTTTCAGCTACTCATTTCTCCACAGAAAATGCACTTCATGTAATCTGACATGAAATAGCAACACCACACACAAATCTGTTAGGTCAAGTATTAAAAATACTATGGGCATAACCTCTTAAAGCATGTATTTTCATTAGTTAAAGATCTTGCCTTTATATATCAGTAGTTATTGAGTGCTTATCATTTAAAATGTGCTTTTGCTTGGCTTTTTAAAGGCCTTGTTTAATGGAAACCTGAATTAATTTTCCTTGCTGAAATGAATCAGTTTAATGTGCAGTTTTAATGTGCAGTTTCAAAACATACCCTTCACTCCCCGGTCCATGCAGTCCATATATACCAAATAAACCGCAAAAATGATCCATTCTGAATCTATTGTTTTTGTGATGTCACAAAAACCAACATGTTCACATAAATACGTGTATTTAGCCTACAGTAGTTAAGCCCTGCTTTTTCACAAAGAAGTTGTTTTTGGATGAGGCAAAATACAGGGCAGCCAATCAGAACACAGGTCATTTACATTGTCTTAGTGGCACAGTAACAAAAACAGCCCCCTTAATTCTAAGGAATAAAGAGGTTGGAAAATGGTCATGTAAAAATACGTTATTACTGTATTTGGTGCCCACATGAAAGTTACAAGTGGATCTCAGTGGAGAAAACATAACACAAGAATACGCACAATATGGGCCCTTTAAATTGAAATGAAAATTGTACAGACTGGTGGCAGAGAACAGGTGAGGAAGCCAAATGTAAACAGATCCAGCAGCAATGGAAAAACAACATATACACAAATAAATATTTTCTTGTTTGTATTGTAAACACTTGTTTGTATTGTTTATGTGTGCTCAGAAGATACTTTTATCTCTTTGGATGTGATGAGAAAAATGTGTCATTGTGAGAAAAGGCAATCTGCAAAGTTTTACACAAAGCTTTTATCAAAAAAGCAGTACAATAAATTCAACATCATCACTGCAAACACAAGTACACCCAGTACACAGATGATCACTCACCGAATACTGTTCGAGCAGGGACGGATTCACGGTTGAGCCAGAAGGACACCTGGGACAGAATGACCGTCATGATGCAGGGCAGGTAGGTCTGGATCACAAAATAACCAATCTTCCTCTTCAGATGGAAATGAACTGTCATCACTGTGTATTCACCTAGAGAGCACGAGAGGTGTGTTTGAAACATGCTTATAATAAATCTACAACAAATCCTAAATCCAAGAAGGCAATGAACTAAAGTGATAAAGGCGTAGTTAAAGTTGTAAGATGGTTCTGTGGTTATGATCCCACATTATGCTGACTCTGAAGGTCAAACCCTGTAAATCGATGTATTATATACAAGTGTAAAAGATCGAAAGGGGATAATTAATTCTGAAGCATCTAAGTGATGTTACACTTAACACTATTCTATTTAATTAGTGTTGAGCCACTAACATTAAGGAATTCAATTATGGAATTCTATTTAGGAGCAGATTTGGGTTAAAAGGTAACAGATGGGTTTAATAATGCACACAATCAAATTAGTTATATATTAAAATTAGGTGAATAATGTGATGAAACTATGTGATGAAACTATATATAAAATGAATAACTGAGACAGAGAATAAGGAATACTACCTGAATTTTACCTGATAGACAGACAGATTGAGAGAAAGAGAAAGAGAGAGAGAGAGAGAAAGAGCAATCACCCAGAGAAAACCTCTCCTGATCTATCTGAGTGCCGATGTGTCTCTCGGGGAGAGAAATTCTCTCTCTGGAGAGGAATTTTCTCTCATGTGCCAGTAAAACAGATTATTTTAATTACTTTACATTTTTTTCAAGATTTACCATATCGTCATGACGTTGCATTAAAAAATCGAATAAAATATAGCCTTAACATCATAAAGATACATTCTGAATGTCATTTTTAAATAGCCGTATACATGTGTAATGTTTACAACTAAATAATAATTAAAAATAAAAAATAAAAACTGCCCACATGGTTCTCACTGTATATCACTATCATTCAAGACTATTTGCAGTTAGGCCTGGAGTTAAGAACCCTGCCACAGAGCACTGAGACCTTCACCAAGCACTGTGTAGCTCAGAACATACTACTAATACCTGTAACGTAGCACAAAAACTGCATTGTCATATAATCATCATGTAAATGCCTCGCCAGTCATTATATAACAATGTTTAATATGAAACCTTTACTTTATTAGTAGCCTCTGTTTAAAAAACACCGTTGGCAATAATGCTAATTTCTAGTAGTACGAATATGAGATTTTCCATCATATGCTAGCATCAAGCTAACGCCTACGATTTTTCCCCACACTTGGTTCAATACTATACAGCTTCAATCTACACACAGACTTCCAGTTTTACAGTGAATCATTTAGCAAATATTTCAACTTTAAACCTAACTCTGAATATCACTGGATTCACCTGTTCTTTATCAGTCTGCCCAGCTGCTTGGTAAACAAAACAGTTTTTTTTGGAAAGGTTAAGTTCTGTGTGCATTTGTTCCTTTTAGTTCATACACGCAAAGTTAATGACTGCAAACCAACACATGCTTATGAGACTGAGCATTTTTCCCACTCTAATCGGGGTGGAATGTGTGTTTTCCCTTCTTTGAGGAAGCAAAGATCTGTCTGCTCCTCCTTCTGCCATGCTGTGGCTGCATTCATTGTGATCATTTACAAGTTCCGCTCAGAGGACATAACATATCACATCAGAGCATGACTGGGAGCTTATGAAGGCCGAGCTACTCTTTGTCTCTAAAAATCTCTGCTAAAATTGCAACTTGCTTAACTAAATAGCAGGAGCAGTATTTCACAGTGCCCATAATAATTTTACTATTCATGTATAATATCACATTACACCAATTTTCCCGAATACTGGCACATTTCAACTCTGAACAAAGCTCAGAATAGTCTAATCTTAAAGACTGTAGGTAAAGGGAAGAGAAATCAAATAATTTTAACTCACCTGTGCTAGATTTGATGGTTTCATTGCCAACAGTTTGCCCCCTTAAGTCATACTGGTTTAACCTCGATCCATCTGGCGCCACTTCTACTGAAAAGGTGGCATTTCGCGTCCAAACATAGGTCACCTCTGTCAGAGTGTATGCATCTACACACAGAAGTAAGGCAAAGCAAAGCAATACTTAAGTTCAAGGAGGTGAAAACAACTGGACTAACATTTACATATTTTAATGGATTATCTAGATCAGGAAATATGAGGTATTTAAGCATGTAGATGAAGAATGTTACTGTACTGCATGTACTAAGGTGCAAAGCAGCCGTCAGTACAAGTAGGGGAAAAATTAAGGACTGCAGTGCACCCTTCAGGGTTTAGTGGATAGGGCAGGGGTGCCCAATCCTGGTCCTAGAGATCTACCACCCTGCAGACTGTAGCAGCAACCCTAATCAAGCACACCTAAACCAATGGTAAAGGTCTTTATGGGCATCTGAATTTCAGAGCCAGGTGTGCTGAATCTTAACTCTCCAGGGTGGTAGATCTCCAGAACCAGAATTTGGCATGCCTGGGTTAGGGAGTACCAAAAAATATATTTGAACTCACAGCTGCCAAATTTCAGTGGACATGAGTGAGAGTCCATAGGGAAGTCCTCCAAATGCATTGGACACTCTGCCTGCACCGTCAATCTGTATCATACACACAGATACACATTGCCAACAAAATCTAAATCTAAAGATATTTCTCAACCCTGTTTTTGTACAATGAAAGTAACTTCTTTCCATCATAGTCACAGAATTCACACCTGTACTACAATAATCTCCTTCCTCATAGCGGTAATACTGCATCTTTTTGAGCACATAACCAAACCCAGGCTAAATTACAGCCTCCACACAGTGGGGTTAGTTTTAACATGATGTTGCAACTAAGTCTCCTAAAGTTAGCAATAAGAAAAGTCAATATTCCCCAATATAAACTTAAAACATTCATTTTTTTGATGTTTTGTGCATGTATTCATCTGAAATACACCTTACATGTCACTATACTTTATATTTTCAATTTTATTATGCTGACATTTGCTGTTCAAAGCAAACTTTCGGCATTTGACAGCCCCTTTCATTATCATTTTTATGTTGATTCATTTTTTTCTTGCATATGGAAAGTTCATTTGGTTCAAACAGCACAGAACTGTTTTGAAATAATTGTTTTTGCGTCAATTTTCTCCTGTCTGTTACAGTTAACCACGTCTATCTCCACTAACGCAACTTTCAACTGATGATTTTGATGAACTTTAAAACCTTTTTAAATAAAGTTTACATCATCTCATAATGAACTGACACTATCATACAATAGTGTTAAGAATCTTTTCTTGTATAATTACTATTTTAAAGTTGTGTTATGTTAGTCACAATATGCCTATATGAGGTGCTTAACACTTCCAGAACCAAACTACTGGTGAGTGAGTGTAGAGTATAGTTTGTATACCTCATAGTGTAGAGTAATGTCCCATTCTCCATGATCCGCAGCAACTTGTTGGGCATGGTCATGTTGTGGGCCACAGACTTCTTGCCGTTGTGGAAGAAGGTGTCGGGGGTCCAGATCTTACTGGCCATCAGGTTATTGAGCCGCAGGATGTTCATTGGCCCGCGGAACTTCAGCCGCTCGTCCGTCCAGCGCTGGCGGAAGAACACGTCTACTGTGTACTCCTGATAAGCACAACACACAGCCAGAGGTGAGCTCTGAGTAATATGGTAATTAGAAGAAGAGAAGTTAGAGCTGCTCAAAGATGAAATGCATTAGTGCTTCTTCTCCACAGTTCAGTCAAGCTTGTTCACAGTCGTTTCAGTGGAGAAAAAACTCCAAATAGCATCATTTTGGGATTCTGTGGCTCATTCCCTAGAGAGTCCTGTCAGGTGTCAGTGAAAACTTTCTCACAGAAGCTTGTGAAGGGAACCATTAGGGAACGGCTCTGCCTGCCACTAAAGAGTTCTCCAAACTCTAACCTGAAAGTATGAAATTTTATGCCACCTCTTCATCACAATTTGGAGACATGAGGAATAGCAGAGTATTAACAAGTTAGATTTACTCAGTTAAGTAAACTTTGGTGGATTTGTACTTTCCTGAGTATTTTGAAAGATAATCCTTTTATTTCTACTCAAGTATATTTGTGAGGACAGTGATCTACATTTTACTCAATTAGATTTTAATTCATTTGCATTTGCTAATTCCATTTTCATATTATGTTTGTGATCTGTACTGCTTTGTGATTGGACATACCACTGACGTTTGAGGTTTTTAATTTGATTTTAGACCAAAAAGACCCCAAACAGACTTCAGCTGCTATGCTGATATTTGCTGAATGCACTAACTGCAGTTCCCTGTGTAGTTCTTAAGCAAGATTTACCTGGTACTATTGTACTTCTACTCAAGTAGTTTTTGAAAGTAACTTTAACTTTGATTTGAAAAATTATTATTAGGTTATCTGCCAACCTCTGGTGATGACATAATATGGGTAAAAGGTATTACAACCTGCAGTGGCTGAATAGAAGAATAAACAGACCGTGGCTACAGATAATTAGTTTTATTCAGGTTAACTTGTACACATCCTTCTCTTCTATGCTGGATATTTTTTCTATAGAAAAAGTCAGAGCAGCTGCTGCTGTGTTTCCATGGCAGCAGGTTTACTGATTGGTTCCGAACATGTTATCGTCATGTTAAAGCGATGTACGCATTAGTTAGTTGTTACTAGTTAAGACAGGACTTATTGAATTGCGGTGCAACTAAATTTAGTGAAAGGATAGTTTGAAACTAACTTAGTGTAACTAAGGACTTAGTAAAGACTTTACACACAACTTAAGTATGAACTTACGCAAAGCTGGTGCAACCCAGTCCAGGTCTGCACCATTTAATTGCATTTACTCATTTACAATGAAAGATTTGAATCTGTAACATTCTGTTCAGACTGAGTGCACAAATGTTTGTATAATACTGAACTTAAGTGTTATATGAACCATCCAACTAAACTCTGACAGAAAAAACAAGACTGAAATAAATCAAAATGAATAGATCAAATAAATGTAATTTAATAAAATAAATAGACAGACTATGATGAGCTAGCTTGCTAGGTTTTGCGTGCTGTTCGCTCTCTTGCAGTAAGACTCAAGCACTAAGAGAAAGAAGCTGCCCAAGACGAGGACTGTCCAGTTTACATTGAAAGAGGTGAAATATATTTATTAAGCATTTGCAAGTTATTCACAGGACATACTTTGTTCATGTATATTCTGTGCCCACATAACTTAAAAGTAAACATATATATAAAAAGGTTTTACAGGTTTATGTGGTTAAATCCAGGACCTGAAAGCTTCAACTTAAAATAAAAAAAACTTCAGTGTATGTTCATCCCTGAGTGTGTGTGTGTGTGTGTGCGCGTGTGACATATCCCAAGTGCTAAAGTGTCAGAAACAGTCCTCATCATCAACTATCCCACAATCCCTTTAGGCACCAGGTTCCCCATAATCGACCCCTCGGGCTCAGAGGAGAGCATAAAGTTGCCATAGCAACAGAGAGAGCACAACACAAAAAGAGGCATTCAGGGAGAATACGTTTGTCGATTCCCAGCTCTCACAAACATACAAACAGTCTCTGAAGATCTCTGATAGATCTCTGGAATGCACAGTCAACCCTCAACTAATGAGGCATAGACATTTTATTAAAGGCTTCAGAGACTCCAGAGCGCAAACGATAAGAGATCATTAGGGGGATAAAAGAAAGTGTGAATTCATGCATTTTTATTCAGTGAGCAGTGAGCAACACACTTCTGAGCAATATTTCTGAGCATGTTTTCCTTCCTGCTTTATCCATTTGATTCTTGATGAAATGAATCTTCTTGATGGTATCTCACCCATCACACATTGCCACTCTGATAGGACAAACGGTGTGAATGGGGACTGTCACCACATCTCTTCAAACTACCTGCCCTGACTTGCTGATACATCACAGGGCTGCCCATGAAGGTGTTGGGGGCGGGGGTGGGTGGGGGGGTGGGTTGGGTGTAAAGCATTCAGTGGCCCAGCCACAAGAAACGTTCAATTTAGACTGTAGCTTATCACTCAAACTGTACATTGCCCCACCTACTAACTGCACGCTCAATGAGGCACAGGGTTTAAATGGTGCAGTGAATAAGAATGGAGTAGTCAACAAGCTAGAGCCAAAACAGTGAAAGTTTAGTGGCAAAGAAATAATAATGTCAATAAATGAAGTTCTAATCTAATCTGTCTTAAAAAAGACTTTATGGAGCAATAACATGGACTGCGAGAGCGTATTGCGTTAGTGTCACGGGTATATTTTGAGCTGCACCTATACATGCATATCTGGCCCTGAGAGCTGAAATAATATTATTCTGTTGGTAAATATTCTTTTAGCACATGTTCGAGGTTTGTGCCTTTGTTTAACCACTATGTGCTGCCATTGTTAAAGGAAGTCACTCAAACACACATTTGAGACATTAACGCAAACTTACACAAACTGGCTGCAGTTAGTTGCTCAAACATTAGTAAACTGAACGGAATATTGCCAGCTGTATTTCCTCTATCTCCATCACTTTTCTGCACAATGCTTTCACGTTTTGCATGATCTTTCCTCAAATGCTTAAGCCTGAAGAAGACAAACGCAATTTGCATTTCTCCCTGCACACAACCCACTGACTACATGTTTAGGCTTGACAGTCATTTTCATATATAATATGAAGAATGTGTCCGGTTTGTACCTGAAACTGTCAAAAAAAGAATAGTACCTCAGGTCCGAGAGACATTACAAAGGAGGTGGAGACAGTTCATTGCTTGAAAAATTGGAAAACCTGTAAACGCACAATATGGCGCCTATTTACAGTGAAATCCACCTTTCTGTAAAAAGAGCCTATTGGCTTGCTGTTAAAGCCGTAAGCGAGGAAAGCTCTCCCTCATTGTACAGAGTTTGTTTTGAATAAAATGTTAGTATTTTTGTGCATTAATAGAGCCAAATGCTACAAACTATTTTTGCCATTTTTGTCAGATTTTATCAATTATTTCAAATATGTATTTGAAACATCACTTTGCCTTTCAGTTTTAAGCTATAGGCCTCTCCCCATTCAAAGAGATAGGAGCCTGGTCTTCTACAGCAGGTAACTGCCCTGGAGCACTGCCAAGATGAAGAGGGTGAACAGACTTCCCGTTAGCACTTCTGGTTGCACCAAGCAGCCATGATAGTGAAAATAAAGTTTCCTCAAAGTTTGTAAATATAGACAACACATATTTTACAAGCTAGATTTCATTTTTCTTTTATAAAATCTAAAAACAAATGTTCTCTTAAAATCCTTTTAGGGCGTTTTCACATCTAAAATGTTTTTGTTACACTGTATACATTTGATCTGGTTAGTTTTGGTTTCACGTTGCAATTCATGAAGTGCACTAAAGAACTTTGTATGATACACCTACGTCTTGTCTTCATCACCTACGTGGGCTGTGTCTCCCTTTACTTGACACTGATTGGTTTGTAGAGGAGCGTACATTTGAGAGAAATGAATATCCATTCTCTCTCATCCTCTCAGAAAAATAAGACATAAGTTTCAGAATTTTTGTGCTTTTTATCAAGTTGACTTTTGACTTATTTGTTGGACCAAATTACAATTAAATATTTACTCTCCTCCTCTCCCCATGTGCTACTGCAGCTCATTTTTACTTCTCTTTTGGTTCTTTTCCTCTACTATTGTTTAATGCACGTGTCAATGTGCCGATTCAGCTCTTCAGCTAATTAGCAAGGCCTTCATGAACTGAATTCAGAGAGTTAGAAGAAGGTAAACACTAATCTCTGCAGCACTTTGGCCCGGAAGGTCCTCAGTTTGACATGCCTGGTTTAATGCCTCAACTTCCTCTAATTGGTCCAAAAGTCCAAACCATCCAAAAAAGTGTTTTCACACTGCAAATGAACTAATCCATGGTTCACTTTGATCCAGGCCGAGATCAACTCTTTTGATTGGATCCAAATTGTGGTCCTTTGGTTTGGACCATGGTCCGAGGCACTTCTCACACCTGCTGTTTTGGTTCAGACCAAACTGAAATGTCCAAAAATATAGGTTTAAAAGCACCTAGAGCTCATCCTCTGCATGTCATGCTTCATGCAAGTTCAATCAACTACAGAATGCGTTGCTAAGCAATGCTATTATCTGATGCACTTTTAGGAGGTCTGGCCCTGCATCTGACCTTTGCTGATCAGAGTCACTCCCCACTGTAATCCATTTTACTGTAGATTAAGCATAACATGGTTATTCAGTGCTAGTCAGAAGTTCAACAGTTCTCAGCTTCAGACACACAGAAAAAAAGCTCTACAGCTGTCGAACACAACCACACAGAGAGAAACAGGGTAATGGAGGTCCCGGGGCTCAGAGGCCCTCCCACAGTACAATCTGTGTGAGTGCACGAAGGGGGTCAGCGAACGCCAGCAGAGAGGAAAAAGAGAGCAAATGAATAATACACAGGGCACCTCATTCTCATGTGAACCTCTCTTGTGCTTTATTCTAAATATTTGAGGGCAGGGAGAGTGTGAAGCAGACTGAAAGTGGGTACTGAGAAAAGCTTTTAGGCTTGTAGCAGATACCAGAGCTATGAATAGACAACAGAGAGAGAATGAGAAAAAGAGATAGAGAGAATAAGTGAATGACAGAGAAAAACATACAACAAAACAGGACCTGAATACATGATTAGGGCTGGGTGTCAAAATTCAGTACATTGACTGAATCATTTCAGTACCACAGAATATCACAGTTATTCACTCAACATTAAATTACATTCCTTTCAGCATCTATGAGCCAATAAGCATGCTTGATTCAAAACCTTGATTGGTGATTAGTCTAAATTACGTCCTGTAAGCATGTTTTTAATGTCAGAGCTTCTTAAGGTCCCAGGGAACAGTGTAAAATATTAAAAAATGTTTGTATGATACTAAAATTGATTATTAATTACTAAAATAAAATTGATATTTTTAAATCTGGCTTAGTTTGAATGAAAAAAAAACAAGACAGAAGGATAACAGCTTAACGCTTATCAGACCAATCTGAGAACAATGTGGGCGTGGTCCTAATATTCTAATGAGCATGGCTGAGTGACAGCCCTTAGTCCACAGCTCCCTGCCAGCTTCATCACTGAAGCAGAACTAACCATCACAGCACAAGCGAAAAGAAATGGCTGTAAACAGGCCGTACATATACAGGTGGTGTTGCAGACCCCACTGTGTCCGCTCAGTCAACACAAATCATCCAGCTTTTATATGGTAAATGTTCTTAATCACTATACTGCTGGATGTGCTTCCAGGGAATGCATGTGTGGCCAACTGACTGAACGAACGGATGAATGGGCATTTTTGCTAGTACAGTTATGCCTGCTAGGTTAGCTTTTATGTGTTGTTAGCTGTGTGGTCAGGATTGGTGAGAATAATGCTTATATATGCGCCACCCCAAATTACCACTGCCTATTTTACATAGAGAGAGGAGAATGTTAGCAAAATGGACCATTTATTAGGCTTCAGGAAGTTATTTACAGGACAACCTTTGCATATGTACATTCTGTGCCCGAAAGAACAGGATTCACTAACTGGTTTAGGTTACCTGGGGCTTGAAATTCTGTGCGGTGCTCCATTGAGGTCAGAAAATATTATTGATACACCAATCAAGGTTTTTTATGGCCAATTTTGCTTCTGATTTCTTTAAATCCAAATTGGCTGATAGCTGTTTTTGGTCAAGCAATAAACCCAAGACTCACACTGTGTGGGCTGGTACTTTCTATTGACCTAGACCACAATATAAATAACATTATTTGCTCTTTAACGGGCCAAACTGGCATTTCAGTTTCTTAAATAAAAAATAAATAAAAAATCAGATGCCTGTTTAAAGAGCATGAACCAAATAAATTGCCATATGGAAAATAACAGGCAACTGGCTGTTTAGCACAATGAGTCATGCATAATTACATTGCTGACTGCTTGGGCTTGGAGTCCAATCATGCATCCCCAGTAAATATGCCCACTTCCAGCACCTCATACTTACTTCAGGTTTAAGTCACACCCATTTTCGGTTTGCAATTTAAAAGAAGGACTCAGGAATTAGTTGTGAAGTCATTAGTGTTGGTATAAACGAATTTAGAACAAAAGCCAGCCCTATACATGCTTATTGAATCAAACAAAAAAAAAGAAGGATATTTTTACCATGTCTGCGTCTGATACTGGCCCAAAACTGGTCACATAAATATCAGTCTTTACTTCCGTCACTCGATCTACAAAACAAAAGCAGAAATAAAGACACTGTGTCATCGTGACTGTATTATCAGTGACAGCAGGAGGCCAGAAAACTCGGAAGTGGAGCTGTGTCGTGTCATGATTAACTCAGACCACACAGCCACAAAGCAATGATTCATCCATGATTCAGATCCATTCATCCACTTGCCTCTGCATTGATTGGAACGGACCGAGTTTCTGTGTGTGTTTGTGTGTGTGTGTAAGTTAATGTTTGTGTCTCTGGGTTATTTTTGGAAAAAATATATACACTAATTATTTCGGAGTCATACGGTGATTGCAATCACCATTGATGAGAACATTTTGCCATGTAGCCCCCATACACTTCTCGGCTTTCATAATTAATTAATTACAGAGACCAAATCACAAATTCATTTAATATATGATTAGATGCACAGCTCTCTCTCTCTCAAAATGCACAATATTTGCATGTCTCAAAGCTCTGATTGACAGCTCACTCTGATAATTGTACATCTATGTTTACTCTGCATATAAGTTATCAGCAACTACTGAAAGTCTACGAGGTGGAGACTGAGTTTGATATTGTGTCAATTTGGGCTTTGTGATTTATTCTGTTTATTGTTTATTGTTTGTGGATCTTTTGATCATCCACACCACATCACAGTAGTGAATAGGTGTTAAAAATGAGGTGAAAATAAAAATAAACATGTGCATGAGCAGCTTCAGACAGCATCCATTATTCTACCACACATGACACCAATAAACCATGTTCTCTAAAGAACAATGCAGTAATCATGGTCAGCAATCAGTATCTACATTGTATACATAGGACTCTGTTTCACTGTAATTACAACAGGTGCTGTGTTTTACAAAGGATGTTACAGAAATATGCATGTTTCATCTATAACAACATCATGCAACATATATGATTATGAACATTTAATAAGGTTTATACTGCTATGATAAATGCTACCTGATAACAGATGCATGTACCTCTGAGTCTTTGCATAACCAAGGTTACAGTTTCCCAGGAGTGCTAGTCCACTGTGGGCTGCTAAAAGCTTTTTTATTGACTGATTGATTTTTTAGGTCATAACAAAGTCCAGACAAATATCTGGAATCTTGTTTATATTTACATGCAGAGTTGAATATATAGATTTAAAGCTATGTTTTTATGAAACAACATACAGCAAACAAATTCTGAAATCTTTTAAGACAAATAATCTGCAGCACAGAAAACATCTCTGCCAAATCAATTCAGATCTAGTTAAAACTGACTTCATTTAAACTTAACTCCGCACTGTGCTGCACACATATTTCAGAAACAAAACACATAACAACATCTTTGATTAACTAACAGACAGTGCGCCTGCTGCAGCTTCAATAAGAGACGCTCACCCGAGGGAACTAAAGGGAAACAGACGCTATTATTACTTTGTAAACACCCTTTCCACACAAATACTCTCGCTATCACACACCTTTGAAACTGCAGAGTGCTAAAAGGTAGTGTAATCAAGAGCACAGAATCTTAGAATTTTCTTAAAACAATCATCACACTATTGAGGTGTATGATATATAGTGCTGTCTGTTAGGCCTGGCTGAATGGGCGATACAATCGGATACAGTCAATGATTGACAAGTAACCCGATGACGATGCTTTAAAGGGGATAATCACTGTGTTAGGACAGTGATAGAGAACTAGAGAGGACTAATTTACCTTTAAATAGCTTGCTAAATGATATTGCAGAATGTGTACGCATAATGTTTTATTCACTTTTACTGTTTAAACAGTGGATTATTATGGGGCCTTAAAAAGCCACTAGGCTACAGTAGAGTAAATTAACCACTGTCTCTGCTGCATGTTTCCAGAGTGTAACATACTGTTTGGCAGCATTTTGAAAATATAATACTACATCGTTTTCCAAAGGCATCTATAGCTGAATTCCAGAGTAACTATGCTGTAACCATGGAAAAACTTGTTTTTTATATGTAAAGTACATCAACATGGCTTTGGAACTCCTTTAAGGCCTGTGTTGCAGTTTGAAGTTTCTCAAACAAGGAGTACTATTAGCACTCAAGTCACCTATGAACCTACACAAGAAGTATATGAATGCACATTTGCAGTAGCAACTATTAATCCCTTTAAATCTCAGGCTTATGATTTACTTAAGGCTTATTTTTCAGTAACTACAGGGATTACGATACAAACTGGTTGAGCAACTCTTAGGTTGTAGAAGTGTGTATTAAACCCTTTGGTTCTATTTTTAAAACCCTTGTCTTTTAAGGGATCAAAATGACAAGCAAAGTAGTTTTCAAAACATGTTGATTTTTTATGAAAGAGTTTCATTAAAATAGTTAAATCATATAAACTAAAAGCAGAACAGAAAGTAGGAAAGCTGGACCACATGTATTAGCTTGGGAAGGGCCCAAAATCAATAATCGTGATTTTTTAACTAGAAAATGTTGTGCTAATTATCTTTAGATATTGCTCGGGCAAAGTGTCTGATATATTATGCACCAATTATGCTGTTCCAGTAGGAGTCCTTGGACAAGACGTTGAACATTGCATTATTCTACCATTGTAAGTGGCTCTGGATGAGATATTTTAATGTAAATGTTTACTATTTACTTTCATAATATAATGTAAATGTTCACAATAATTACAGTTTAATTACTGTAAAATTACACAAATTCTAAATGAAATTAGAAAATACTCACAGCCGTATATATAATCTTATTTCATTAATCGGCCCATATCATGGAAAAACAAATTTCACTCATTTTTTTAAATAAAAGAGTTTGCTGTGATATGCAAACATATTTAAAGTTTTAAAACGAACCAGTCATATATAGAAACTAAGTTGCAGAAACAGTATATCTGACATGTCTGAAAACAAAGGCATAAACATATATCCACCTACTGAGGCTACAGCAGATTATCCCCATCTATTCACACTGAAGTTAAAAGAGGTGCTTCAGTCTGGACTGCTTTTTTAGTAAGGAACAGTACAGGGCAGCCAATCAGAACAGAGATAATTTGTATATATCAATCATAAAGGCACGGTAACAATGTAAAAATTATTTACAGCTGTTTTTAGTATATAAAACTATACAAATGTTAGAAGTGGACCAAAGGAGGAAAAATAAAATGCAAGAATAATGTAGGATGGGGCATAATTTTTCCTTCTCCTACAACATTACCATTTCAGAAATATGAGTTTTTTTTATGGTGATATACTGGCTGGATCCTTTTAATAGGCAGGCACCATTAAAGCAAGGCACTTAAAGTTCCTCATCACTCACCTCCGAGACCCGGTCTCAGTCTGTTGTCATAGCCATCCAACAGTCGATCCAGAATCCGTGTGAAAAGCGTGATGTTGTTTTTGAATGCATCTGATGCAGACACTCCCACTCTAGATCTTCACATAATAAAAAAACAAAACACATCAATTGAGATGTCTACAACTCTGCATCAACACTGCACTGTGTTTCTGTCTGTTATTAATACAAGATCTGAACAGCTGACATCAGTACTGAAATACACCTGAGACACATAGTAACAATACAGGATAATGGAAATTGGTTAAGAAACAAATGGTTTAATTCTGAATTAGACTAGCCTGCCTGTGTCTACTGTGTCTCCTCTGTTTTATGTGAGGGAAGGAGATCCTTCAGTCTTCATTTCATATTGATACATATGTCCTGATCATAAATCATTCATAAATACAGGACACACTCAAAGAATCTGACACATCAGAGGAATCAAAGATTCTGGTGTGCACTTACAAATTCGTCAGTGTGCCAGTTCTCTTCAAGAAGGTTATTCACTGTTAAATGACAGTGCTATGCACCGATGCCCTTTCGAGATGGGCAATTCAAGGCGTTCACCACTGTCATTTTAAGAGCTGAACACAAACAAATTGCACTCACCGAGGCTGCCAGGCCACCAAGAGCGAAAGGTAGACCAGCAATCCATACGAGCAACCTTTTCGGCCTTTCATTTCTGAACAATCCCTGCAATTTTGACAGAGCAAACTAATAATATGGCAAAGTCTAGGCTACAACTCAAAACTTCCTATGACATTCATAAAAAGCATGAATTTTGACTGAACACAGCAAAATGACTAGTCAGATTAATGCTACTTACATCTAATTAGTCTAGACCAAATAGACTGACTATACTGTCCAAGCTGACCGTAATTCCGTTTAATACATGGTTCTTACATGGTTCTTAGCCTTTAATTGGTATGGAACCTTTATTATAAGGAGGCACTTTAAACTTAAAAAGGCTTTTCACATTCACACATCTCATTTACAAAAGGCTTTCTTTAAAGATCAACTCTTTGAAAGGTTCTTTGAGGAAATAGAAGTGGTTCTTCTACGACATCACTCCAAATAACCCCTTTTTTCATACACAAAGCGCGCGCTGCTCTTAGTTTGAAAGTGAGCCACTACGCTTCCGTTTTGAATGACAACACCGTCTTCTCAGAAGTGCTGAACAGAGAAAGCATCAGGTTCAGTGATCTGGAGAACATGATCTGGAGGTGGTTGGCGACTTTACGGCTCAGCACAGGGTCTCTAACACAGCAGAAGAGCGAGATTTACCTGAGCAGGAGCGGCTTTCACAGCACGGCTGCACGTACGCGGGTTTACGGAGAGAGTTGTGCCCCTGGAGCGCGCCCAACAGACTGTGGATCACGGCGGAGAAAATCCGGAAAAAATCCAGGCTGAGCGGAGCTCGTGCGCTCCACCACAGACCACCTGTAAGCACGGAGACGCGGTGTGTGTGTGTGTGTGTGTGTGTGTGGGTGTGGGTGTGTGTGTGGAGCACACACCCCGTCACCGTCTGAACAGCGCGCGGAGGAGTTCAAATCCCGCGTGCCTTCAAAATATCAACAAACTCCGCTGTTCAGAGTGGAAGGCGCTTTGTTCCAGATTAAAGCAAAGCTCCATAGAAAAGAAGCCAGCGAGCACTGCCCTCCACACATACACCCAGCCTCTCCCCTCCTCCTCCTTTATCTTTCTTTTCCCCTCTTTTCCTCTCTCTCTCCCTCTATTTCTCTCCACTCTCCCTCGCCCACACTCACTATCTCTCTTCCCCTGCTGTTGCTTTCACCTCTCACTCTTCCCCCCTATATTTCTCTCTCCAATCTCACTTGCATTCTCACTATCTTCTCCCACTATTTCTCTTTCCTCTCTCTATCTCTCTCTTCCCTGCTCTATTCCTTACTCCTCTCTCTCTCTCTGTTCCCTCCTCTATTTCTCTTTCCACTTTCTCTCTCTCTTCCCTCCTCTATTTTTCTCTTCTCTCTCTCCCTCTATTTCTCTCTCCACTCTCTATCACCCACTCTCACTATCTCTCTTCACCCGCTATTTCTCTTTACCCACTCTTTCTTCCCTTCTCTGTTTCTCTCGTCTCTCTCTTCCCTGCTCTATTTGTCTTTCTTATCCCTCTCTCCCTCTATTTCTCTCTCCACTCTCTCTCGCCCACTCTCACTATCTGTCTTCCCCCACTATTAACTTTTCCTCACTCTCTCTCTTCCCTCCTCTATTTCTCTCCTCTCTCCTCCTCTATTTCTTTTTCTTTTCACTCTCATTGTCTGTCTTTCCTCCTCTATTTCTCTCTCCTCTCTCCTCCTCTATTTCTCTTTCTTTTCACTCTCATTGTTTCTCTCTTTCCTCCTCTATGTCTCTCTTTTACTCACTACCCATCTTACTCATTATTTCTCTCTCTCTCTCTCTAAATATATGTATACACACACACACACACACACACACATTTATGATATAAAACAAGGTCACAGTGTGCACTGAAGAAGGTGGGAGCTATTGTACCAATAAATATTTGGTACAATATACTATTTCAAAATCAATATCTATATATCTATGTAATCTATATACAAATAATAATCTGTAATATTTGTACATTTCTACACTGTGTGCAGAAGTATATTCATCAGTAACCACCACCATCATCATCCTTAGCTGTTCAGTTTCATGAGCAGAAACCACAGTATTGATTGATTTTGAGAAAACCTCAACTGTGAGGATTTGATTGCAATCAGCCACAAGAGCATTGGTGAGGCCAGACACATCCTATTCTTCTTTCAGTTCTCTTCTACACAGATTACATGACTGTGTGTACATTTTAACATGTTTTACAGTTTAAGTAGCTCAGTCCACTAAATAGAAGGGGTTATTTGGATACGTTTGGGCATATGAAGGATAATGCATTACACTAACAGTCTGTTTACCGCATACACCTGAGATTTCTTTTTCAAAACCTTGGAAGGAACAACCATCAGCCTCTGCCCCACACTCACACCTCCTCTCCTCCCAGTGTTTATAGAGCACAGCACATGTCAGGACTCATTACACACAATAGCAGAGAAGAGAGGCACTGTGGGCAGCTCTGTTTCCTCCGTGTGTCCAGCAGGGCTGTGGACAAGTCTTAGATGAGTCCAGTCTGCTGTCCATATGGAGCTTGATGTTCATCATGTGTGGCCCTGTAAAAAGGGAATCCACAGCAACAAGCTTGCTAGACTCTTTTTTCGGTTTTGAATAGACTGTATAATCTGGACAATAATGTCAAAGTTCATTTCATGCGTGGATTTGTTTTGGGATATGATATCATGCCTGACTCACTTGGAGATATTTGTTGATAGATTTGCATCTTTATTTGTTGCTTCAACATTTGTGCAGCTGTTGTTAATATGGCTGAAAGTGACTATTGCTGGTCTGTTTATTTCTGACATTTGTTGACATTTTCTGACATATAACATTTCTGCTGTGTAATCCAGAGGAGCACTGCTGGCAGAGTGTAAAGAGAGCCTGATACAAATACATACACACACACACACACACACACACACACACACATGGACGATAGTGCTAATAAACAAATCAGCATTCGCATAAACACAAGCACATTGTTGAGAAAGACTGCTGCATTTTATAGGATCAAAGCACTGTGGATATTAGGGCTAGAACTATTGAATACTTTCATTTTTAAATATTCTATTGAATGTTATCATGCTTATTCAAATATTCTATAAGAATAAGAAGAGCACGAGACGTTTCACTTTGATAACAATGGGAATTTTTTTTTAGTTTTATTCTTGCTTTTATTATTGTTGTTCTTATTACTTGCTATTGTTATTAGTTAGTTTTATTACAATTTTTTGCACAATTGCATACATTTTATTCATAGGCGTAGATTGCTGTGCTTGCTTTTGGTTGTGAAATTTGTTAAAAAAATAAAAATAAAAATAAATCTTTTAGATCCCTGTGCACAGACTCATGGGAAATGTAGTCCATATACAATCAGCATCTTTCATGTTCCCTCATTGTAGCAGACTGAGCCAGCTCACTTTTCCAGTGTTCAAGACTGTCAATGATGTTTAAAAGTGTAGTAAACCAAGCAGAATGCCTATTGTAAGGTTGCCATCTAGCACAGGCTGTAGCTCCCCCTGGATTAAAAAAAATGCTGTAGCCTACTTTGTTAGTCATAGCTAGCTAGCTAGTTTAGTAGGTCTAGAAGATTTATCTATTTCGTTAAACCTAGGAAAAGCTTCTACATTTAAAAGGTACTTCTATGTATGTGTGACACTCTTATGTATATCCAACTAGTGTTGCCAGGTGTCCAGCTTTGGACAGACATTCGATTTGTTGAAGTAGATAAAGTGCCGTTCAAGGCCTCATCATTGTGCTTCTCTTTCTCAGCTCTCTAAAGGCTTCACTAGTCTGTGTTAGAGAGGTCAGAGATCTGTATGTGTGAATGGTAATGAAGAAAAAGAAGCCTGATATTACGATATTAGAACTTTTTTGAGTTTCAAAGTGAGTTTAATTATGATGAGTCGGGTATGATATGAAATACATGCCTCTGATTTGATTTACTTATTTTGCTTTTTAATAAAATGTAATTCCACAAGGTAATGAACAAGTGTCACTAATAAATAATAATTTTCTTGGCAAGATGCTAAACCAGGGATCCTTCCCTATGTGGCAAGCCTGAGCAGGTGGCTGGTACTGTATGTACAGCATTGAACAGTGCAGGAAAGCAGAGGAAACTACATCTTTTTAACCAGTGTCTTAAAAATACCAGAGCATGTGCTAAACTCAGCCACATTTGCTTTAATAATTTCGATACCACTCTGGACTGCTAGCTAGTCAGCACTCTCTGAGTTGTTATGTGAAATAAATGCAACTGAGAACATGCTCGCGAGGAACTTCTTTGAACTGCACCTCAAGTTAAAGCCATATTGTTGCCTCAAATTGCAAGACTCTCACAAGCTGTGCTGAAGTACAGTCTCCAGTGAGCAGAACTGGCAGCTGCATTCTACTGGCCACAAGTCAGCATTTTGTTTGATAATAGTGGGTTTGTAAAAGCAGTAAAAGTAGGTTTTTTTGAATGGCTTTACCTTTTTATATTTTAATTATCAAATATATTAAATAGTACTGAATATTTGTTGCAACCCTAGTAGATATTAAGAGCTTGTACTGATTATTTGCTTTTATGTCTGAACCTTCAGCAATTACTGATTGTAGAGTGATTCAAATTGTATTGTGCTTTCCACCCAAGTGCCAGAATACACATAACGGCTCACTGTTTCAACAAAATCTTATTGAACAGATTGTTGAGGCCTGTATGCTCTTTGTCCAGTCTGTGGCTTTCTACAGTGCACCCACTGTGTAGTTAAGCCTGTCTTGAAGATATAATGTCATTCTTATGCATAATTTTACGCATATAATATGCATAATTTAAAATATATCGAACAAAATTTATGCATTTTCATTACCAAAGGCACCAGAACATGTATTATTTTGAATTAAGCCTAATTGTAGTGATAATTTATCAATATAACTTTGGGATGAGTCTGTTCTGGCTGTCTAATGAGGCAGAGAGACTGAGTCAGGCTCATGAATCATGCTGAGAGGATAGTTAACTAGAACAGATTATAAGAATCTGAGCTTATATTGCCATCTCCTGGCCAGTACAACCACAGTTCCTGCAGCAACATGGGTACTACTGTATATCCAAATGTTTGCAGACACTGGCTCATCCAATGTTTATTCTGAAATCAAGGGCATTAATAGGGAATTTGTCTTTGCTACCCTTTGCTGCAGCAAAAGTCTCTACTCTTCTGGGAAGGCTTTACACTAGAGGTTGGAACATTGCTATGAGGATTTGATTGCGTTCAGCCACAAGATCATTAGTGAGGTCAGGTGCTGATGTTGGATGATCACTCCAAAGGTATTGGACGGAGGTCCATCACTTCAGAGATCACACTGCTCCACAGCACCAGTGCTGGTGGGCTTTATACACCTCCAGCTGATGCTTGGCTTTGGGCATGATGACCTTAGGTTCATGTGCAGCTGCTCCAGAGTGTCTGCTGGCAATATATATACATATATTTTTTTTTAGCAATTATACAAGCTGTGTGCACAATTGCACTTTAAGGTAACAGAGAGAGAAAGAAAGAGACAGGAAGAGAGAGTGAGAGAGAGAGACAAAGAAAGAGAGAGGTAGAGAAAAAGAGAAAGCGTCTACCATAGTGACTCACACATTATTGAACTACTGGCAGCGTGGTCTCCATGGCAACGTGCAACACACTGTGAGACGCGTCTGCAGAGAGCTGTCGTGACGAGTGTGTTATTTCACTGAAATACGGGGTTTGAGGGTGGCATCTGTGTGTGTGTCTGGGTTGGAGTTGAGTCCCACTGTATTACGTCTTCAGCCATTGTGTAGTAATGCGGATGACTACACTACTGCGCAAAAGACAGACACCAACCTTTGTTTATTTAAAATAAAATGGCCATTAATGACAATTTATTTATTTTTCTGTTTCAAGAAAAAAGCAGAAAACATATTGCAACAGCAGTCAAAAGAAGACTCAAATGAAGCGATGATTCTGATCTGAGAACATCTCTTTAAACAACAACAGGCAGAAACAGGCACATATATAACACAGAACCCGTGGGGGAGGTCACCACCAACCACACACTTTACACTACCGGTGATCCCCCCACCACACGCAAACACCCTCACCCCCTCACACAGAATACCCATGCATGCCAGCTCCTGGTTGGCTGCATCCCATGGCTGTTGCCACATTTATTTTAACAGAAAATTGCACAACAGCCTCAACAACTAAATGTAATATTGTGGATTGTGGAAAGCAAGTAGTATCTGGCACATAGCCCCACCAAAGGT